CCCCGATAGCTCAGTTTGGCCGGATGGCCAGCTCTAGGAAGGGTTCTGGTCGTCCCAAACGTCTTCCATTTATGGATTATGGAGGCCACTGTGCTCTTAGGAACCTTAAGTGCAGCAGAAATTTTTTTGTAACCTTGGCCAGATCTGTGCCTTGCCACAATTCTGTCTCTGAGCTCTTCAGGCAGTTCCTTTGACCTCATGATTCTCATTTGCTCTGACATGCACTGTGAGCTGTAGGGTCTTATATAGACAGGTGTGTGGCTTTTCCTAATCACGTCCAATCAGTATAATCAAACACAGCTGGACTCAAATGAAGGTGTAGAACCATCTCTGGGATGATCAGAAGAAATGGACAGCACCTAAGTTAAATATATGAGTGTCACAGCAAAGGGTCTGAATACTTATGACCATGTGATATTTCAGTTTTTCTTTTTTAATAAATCTGCAAAAATGTCAAAACTTCTGTGTTTTTCTGTCAATATGGGGTGCTGTGTGTACATTAATGAGGAAAAAAATGAACTTAAATGATTTTAGCATATGGCTGCAATATAACAAAGAGTGAAAAATTTAAAGGGGTCTGAATACTTTCCGTACCCACTGTAACAAAAATCAGTTATTAAAATACATTGTATATAACGAACTTTAACAAAAACATACATTTTTAAATAATTCATTATAAGATAAATGTCTCTGTAAACAAAATTGACTTTTTTATTAAAAAAAGGCCTGTGATTCTTGTGCCCTCAGAAATTCATTAATACAGAGTCACTCAACTTAGGAGATCAAATCTTCCAAAACTAGAGGAAGGAGGACGACGTCCTCAAAAATTGTAGGATATATTCCAGCTGTCATCTTGGCATCCATGTTTTGAACAGAGGTTTGTGTCCTGGACCTGGGAGTTCTTTGGGACGGCACAGTTTTTTAGCACCTCTAGCTGAAACATGCAGGTCCGACAGTAAAGCCAAACTGGTGTGTGTGGCTTCCGCCTCCCGTTAACGCTATGTCTCTCAGAGGAAGCAGCTGTAGATCCTCAAACTCAAACACGGATTCCTGAGGTCCAGAAACCGTCTCCTCTCCAGGCTGACACACAGGAAACAGAATACCAGTTTGTTTTCTTTTACATTTAATACCAGCTGTATGAAACAAGACTGTAATTTCTGTTAAACATACAGTACAACGCATATTTTGTTTTTTTGTTTACAGATTTTTTTGTTGGAACTGTCACTCCCCCATCCAGCCTCCAGATGTATCTGGACTCATTCCCTTTCCCTCTGTTCTCAGTCATCTGACTCTGCTCGCCTGCCCACCTGGTTCCCATCTCCCAGTCTACCACAGAGTATTTATATCAGTTATTTTCCCCTTGTCCTCTGTCAGATTGTTGCTTACATAGCCATAGTGGTCAAGTCATCTGCCTGTTTTCTTCCTCTGTGTTTGACCTGCATTTGGATTACTCTGGTTTTGGACTTTTGCCTGGATTTCTGGACTGTGCTTTCACCAATTTGGACGGCTCACCTGTCGTTACAGAGTGCTGTATGGATGACATGTTTTTATAGGCCAACCCAGAAGTTACCATCACTCAGGTTCCCTCAACAAAAAGCCAATTCGATTTTGCCATAGGCTTTTGGATTATTGCAGAAAAGCTCTGTGACAACGGTTTATGACACTTTCACATTTTGTTCAGCAAGATAATCCTCACAAGTGAACATCACTTTATGCTGTTTGAAGCCCAAATACAATTGAGAACGCATGGACACTGTCACCATCTTCAGATTTCTGGGCCTCCATATCTCTGCTGACCTCTCCTGGACTTATAACATCAAGGACTTAGTGAAGAAGACTCAGCAGCAGCTGTACTTCCTGCGAGTACTTGGGAAGAACAACTTGGACAAGAAGCTGCTGCTGGCCTTCTATCACGCCTCTGTGGAGAGTATACCTGCGTACTGTCTAGGGGTGTAGTATGCAGGCTCAACAGCTGAGGACAGAAAGACTGTGCAGAGGGTTATTAACACTGCCCAAAAAAGTCATCGGCTGTCCTCTGCCACCCCGGACAACATTTCCAGGTGTCACTGCCTCAGTAAAATCAAGGCCATCACAGAGGACCCCTCACATCCTGCCCATCACCTGCCCTCTGGATGGAGTTTCAGGTCAATAAAGTCTCACACCACCAGACTAACAAACAGCTTTTTTCCATGGGCCATATGGATAGCAAACAATCACTGACCCCCATCTCCCCCCACATACACATACACTTGCACATGACACCACAGCACGGACTCTTTATCCTCTATCTCAATTCAATGTGCACTAAACATGCTTCATAGTCCTACCAATGTACATTTCTATTTTTTTATTTTTATACTTGCATTGCATATTCTTTTTTCTTTTAAATTGTAGATTGTATATTTCTTGTACTTTGTCTTTTAAAGTTTTACGGTGCACTATTGTTTGAGTAGAGTACCAACATTTTCATTGTACTCCCACATGCAATGACAATGAAGCCTAATCTGATTCTGATTAGTTTGTGTGACAAAGCGTAATGAAACTGTTATGTTTCATAGTTGTAACAGCATATTTATGACAGTTTCCATGATGGCGGTGTTCCAGTATTCTTTATGGCAGTTTCTATGATGACAAAAGTCCATAAAACTTGCCACTTTTTTCTATGAATATAAAGCATTTTCAGGACTCACTGCCAAATTTATATAAACATGAAATCTTGGAATTCAAACCACTACCAGAGTTCAGGTTCCGGGACATCAGCATCATTGCTAAAACAAATGCTATTACTTCTCATATTAATAAGCTAATAATAAAAACTGTTCTAATTATGCAGTCACTTTGTTGCTTTTACTATCTAACAATAGAGACTGTGACTGAATATCCCCCCCAAAAGCCTTTACCTTGACAAAATGGTAAAATGCATAGACAGCACACAAAAAATTAGTTTAGAAAACTTTTACCATACCACACAGTCTTTAAGTGCTCCGAGGTAACTCTGCTTCCTAGTGTCGGTGAGGAATTTGACATCTCTCTCTGCCCGGCCCAGTCTATGTCCCGGATGGCAGGAATAGGTCACCTTCTGGAAGGCAGTGCTACTGTGCAACCTCAGGAAACGCATCTGGACCACATTAGCACCTGGATAGTAAAACTGAAAAGGAGAATAAGGACTGAATACATTATAAAAATGGCTGGTTTGGGATTATAGACCAACAGTGCACAAACTGAATAGAAGATGAACAAAATGAAACAAATCAAAGGATGATTGACAGAAAGCAAATTCTTTAAAAAAGTCAAAAATTATTGATAGTATCTTCTACTGTGACAAGTGCCTCCAGTTTTGGCTGTAATGTGAAATATGAATGTGGTCATTTCACCTCCTTTAGCTCACTGTGTCACATCCGCCCCTCAGTTTTAGTAGCACTTGCTCTGAATCCAGTCTCTGTTTGCACAATATTCACAAAATAGTGCTCCACACTTTCTTCCTTGCATCCAGTCATCAGCTCAGCCACCTCTGCTCCTCCTCCCAACAACCACCTCTCTAAGACCACAGCAAACCTGTCTTCCGTTCAGCCACCCACATTATGCCCAATCTCCCTCATCAGCCTCCCTCAGCCTGCTGGGTGCCCCAGACCCAATTCGCTGTCTCCACTAGTTTTGGAAAATAAAAACCGTTTAAATTTCCCTCTGGTCTCTGGCTCGCTGGTGAAGTTTCCTGTAGCAAACTGTTTTGGTTTTACGGCACATTTGCAGTCTCAGCGCTCTCATCAACCTTCTCTCCAGGAGAAGCAGCAGGCAGCTGGTTTCAGAAAACAAGACCTGATAACTCTGAGTACACTGCCTGTCCAGACAAAATGACAGAGTATAGCATTTAGCAGCCACATTTTTTGACTCAGGAGTTGGTGGAATCTAACCAAAGCATAGACGAGAATACCTGTTTTCAGGTGGAGAGAAACATCAAAGACAGATTATGCTAATTTAGCTCAAATTCTGATGAATGTGTAAACAGGCAGACCCTTGCTAACATGTTCACCATATAAGCTCTAAAAAGTGGCATGTTAAGAGTCTGTGATTTTCAGATTGTTGTGAATTTCTTCTGCCCCCAAGTGCCCAATAACATCAGTGAACACAGTCTACATAAATTTGATAATCTGCTCATGAAACAGCTGGAAAAGCAATGTGAAATATTTGGGTTTATTTTAGCTGTTCCATGCAAAGGGATTCACCCACCTGAAACCCCCGCTCCAGTCTGCTGAGCCACTCAAAGGATCCTTCTTCAGAAAATTCTTCCAGCCAAGCTTTCACAGGCAGCTGCAGGCAAAGGGGAAAAGGCCTTGATTTATACAAGAGACCTGTGAAGTCAGAGATGCTCGGAAACAGTAGCTGTTGATAAGCTCTGGGATAGCATGGAGCTCAAACACAAGCCAGAAATAAAGTGCTACCTTAGCACTTAAGAGATGCGTTGACTTCACGCTACAAAAACCAATTCATATTATTCTTTGGCTGAGTGGGTTCATGTTTTATGCAGTAGGTCTACTGACTGTATTATTGGAGAGGGTGAGAGGTTACTGTGCAATTTTCTTGTTAGGGTATCTCAACTTTTTATCTCATTAAACTTATGTTTTATCCAGTATTGCCAATAAACGATGCTTATGGAATTCAGAAAACGGTAGGGTGGAAGTGTGTGTGTGTGTTTTGCAGACAGTGAATTGGAGCAATGATTTTTCTTTCAACTTTTACTGTAGGGATGCTGTTCAATTGACAAAAAAAAAATTAGGTTGGAAGAAACTGAATTTTCCCAACTGAGTCACAAGCTTAATTTCAAGTCATCACTATGAAAATGCTAGCTGACTAACAATTCATCAAACTGAAATTTAGGTTGCCCAGCATGGCTTTGTGCGCTTAGTCAGGCATGTCAGTGATCCAAAGGTACAATTCCCTGCAGTCTTTCCCTGGTCTTTATACCTGAGAATCTCGAGGATGAAGGCAGGTCTGTTTTGATGTGGAAGAGAAGCTGCAGTAGGCCAGCAGAGCGTCGCCTGGACTGCCTTGGTTAGGATCGATGTAATACATTCCTGCACACAAAGGTTAAGGAAAGCCAAGTCAGATCTGTGGGAATCAAAGTACCACAGGAAAACCTGAATGACACTGGAAGTACAACACTAAACAACACTGATCTGTGCTAAAGAAACATTACAGATGTTAAAGTGGAAAGAACCACTTATGACCGTTAATGCTGAGCTGTTTACACATGTCCTGTATAGTAAGATGCTGCTGTAAACAAAAACAACCCATGTTAGTGGCTGCAGTTGTTCATGAGAGACAATACTCTGTATGTTTATCAAGCCTAAAGGGTTACAATAAATATGGAAATTTCAACGCCATTGTTCTCACTGCGAGAGAAGTTAGTACATTAGTCAGGTAAACAAGTAATGGTGTTGTTAAGAAGGACTCTGGGACAACTATAGCAGCTCAGTGATTTCCAAAAGGCTGTATTTAAATGTGGTTTTGATGTTGTCCAATAGTTCATCTAACTGACCGCTGCTGTATTCAGGGTGACAGAACCAGAGCTCCAGACAGGTGGTGGCGGGATGCTCTTTGCTGCCATCAGGAGGATCCGCAAGTAGCCGAAGTTCACGGTGCAGAGAATCCAGCAGAGTCTGGATCAAAGGATAGTTGGGCTTATCGGACACATACATCAGGTCCTGGATATAGAAAGAGGATTACAGAACACACACAGGGTGAGATGCCTCTAGCTAATTTGATATTTTAGCTGTCACAGCTCCTGTTTTAGCCCTGATCATTGTACTCGCTCCTTTGTCATGTCCCCTCCAGCCACCACATGTAAAGGGCTGTTCCTTTGCTCCTGGTCACATGACTCTGCCTTGCTGATCTGCACGCCTACTTGCACTACTTCTTCCAGTCTGCTTGGTAGTCTGTGTTTGGGTCCTACCTATCTAGTGCTTCCTTGCACAAAACACAATGTAGTTTTGACTTAAATAACAAACAGTAATGCACAAAACAAAAACATAATCCTCTCTTTATTTGTCGTGACAAATAAACAGAACACTTGCCTGACAGTTTTAATATTCACTATACCATAATTGTTTAAGACATCCATATTAGTCATTTCTGTCTGTTTTTGCAGACAAATTACACATGCTCTTGTGATAAATGCTTCTGTAAATGTTATCCCACATTAAACAAAATACTTGAATTGAAAATTAAAGATATGAATGACTCACTTTGAGTTGAGTGAAGGTCATGTTAAGCGGCTGTCCTGGAGCACAGTATTTTATAAATGTATTAAGATAATTTTGAAAAATGTTATTCAAGACAATTTATGCACTAACAAATACAGTATAGAGTACAAACATACTCAGTCCTTTTATTTTGTTTGGAAAATCGTAGCTTCATAGAGCATGCATGCAATCAGGCAGTGAAATAAAAACTGGAACTACCACCTTTGCAGTTGTACAGTAATCCTTTGCCAACCAGTGAGTTGTACTTTACATTCATGTCTGTCCAAACCTATATAGTATATACAGTGAAGACTGGTGAAGGAATTTAATAAAAGATGTTCACAAAAATGGGATGGACAAGCATCCAAGTGAATGTTTATGCCAAATTTGAGTAAATTCTCTCAAAGTGCCCCTGAGATATTGTGTTTATGAGAATGGGGCAGACAGATGGATGGACACAGCAGTAATGTAAAGGCTCACCATCGTGGAGGCATAAAAACATTTAATTTAGATGGTTGATTGTGTCAAATCAAGTAATATGACATAGAACTAATACGATTTTTAGTAGAAATTTGGTGCAAAAATTGGTGCAAACATCTTAGGGGTCTTAATACACATTTACCATAACCCCTACCCCACGGCTGCAATGAGATGCCACCGTTCCTGCAGAATAATAGACAGAGAACAAAGGGCCTAGTGGCCTACATGCCACTGCCCTGGTCTTAAGCTAACTCTGTTATGTTTGTTTGCTACTCAGCTGTTGTTAACTGTTAAATTTTTACTGCAAGCCATGTAGTCCCTAGAAGGATGAAATGTGAACGGCTTCCCCTTTTCCCCCAAAATTGTTGGTGTGTAATAAACCCTGTTATCTTTTCAAGACTGGTGATTAATGTGGACTTTTCTTTATGTTATTTGAAGCCAACCTCTGCCATAAAATAACTCCCAAATACCTTCATTACATTACTATGCCATCTGTGTTATAAATCTAGTTGCAATATAATTAAAAAGACTATTTTTTTTGTCCAGACTATCCATTTCTTTAGTTTATTTTATTTATTAATTAGACTTCCAAAATTAATTGATCTGAACACATCCCAGAGGCTGTTGGTCTCCCAAGTGGGGCTAGTCATTATCCAGGTTCATAGACATTTACAGATATCCTTGTACACATTTGGTTGCATAAATGCATCTGGCATATTATAAATGCTTTATAGCAACATGACAAGCATTGAACCAATAAAGCTTTGTTTCCTCCTCCTGCTATGTAACTCTGTTGTATACATACTGGGAGCCCCGTCCTGCCGGGCAGTCCAGGTAAACCTCGGTAGCCTTTCAAACCCTGCAGGGATAAGGACATATGATAAGCACAAGATATGATTCTGCACTGTTCTCCATGGTAATACCCCACCATTAACTGCAAAATGTACTGATATGGATATAAAGCCTGGCGAAATCACTGTACATTCTAACAAAAGTGTGACATGACAGTTTTAGGATTGCATGTGCCACCAATATAAACCAGAGCCATCATGACAATTAATTCTCCAGGGCATTTGCTTCACATAAGCATGAGCAAGTGCTGAAGTGAGTTTGAGCTGTCACGACAAGAGTGCTTGAGCTGATGATATACCTTTAATCCAAACAAGCCCTGCAACAGAGAAGAGAATAAAAGATGAAAAGGGCATGAGCATTAGTGTGATTCTTACTGCTTTTATCAGTGCATTAAGAAGCCATCAGCCACGGCTTCACAGATTTTATAACCCAAGTTAATAGATTTGTTTTCCCTAAGATGCAGTGGGTTGAACATATTCATCCCGTGCTACTGAACTGTGAATGAGTCAGAAGACTGGCAGCTAAAGAAAGCTGGCTGACAGATAATAGTCTGCACTTTATAGGAACAACTGGGGCTATTAGAAAACAATATCATTTAATTCCACATGTTCCACTCCGGGCTGTCTCATTTTTCAGACACAGGCTGGGAGAAAGTATCTCGGTGACAGATTATCTGCTTAAATTTAAAACATTAAATATCCCAGACAAAGGAAAAAAAAGAATAAGTAAAAATGAATTGCCTGAATAAGTGTTTCATATCCAAAGAAAATTTCAGAGTTAGTCGCCAAATTCTTTCCATATAAGAGAGCAACAACATGTAGAAGTCAAACAGAAAGCAACATACCAGCTATAAACAAAAGGATATGGCAGGTGGAGACAAAATATCTTAAACATTCATACTGTGCAAGTTTGTTAGAATGTGCTTTGCACAATGAATTAAAAACTCACAGGCAGTCCTGGCATCCCTAGTGCACCCCGTGGACCTGGACGACCAATACTCCCCTTAAAAAAACAAAGAAAACTGGACATCAAAATCCAAATCCATATTTACATGCAGTAAAGGTTCAAGAGACAAGAGTGAAACTAACAAAATGCACTACAGTCTTTGTTTACCTGCTCTCCCTTTAGACCCACTGGACCTGGCAACCCAACAGGACCACCAACACCCTGAGAAAAAGACAAAGGAAGCATGACATGTGGACAACGTCTCATGTCTTTCCTGTATATGATCGTTTCACTGTCTTTAATCCTCGCTCGACCCAGAAGTTGTTCCAAATAAGCGACGACCGAGGATATCCCAAGGCTCATATTCCTGCTCCGAGGAGCAAGGAGCAAGGAGCAAGGAGGCCGCTGGAGAAGCTGTGAGAGAGGATACACAAGTCTTTTATGGACCTTTACTGGAAATAAGTTTGACTGGATGCTTCAGATGAAGGATCTTCATGCCTCTAATAACACGTTTTCTCGATTCCTCTCTTCACATTTTCTCCTTGCACTGGGTACCTCTCATGTCTCTTATGAGCACTGTTGTTTTCCTCACTTGCATCTTTTCCTTGTCTTAGTCCCGCCCACACAAGATGCAAGAAAAGGATGGAAGGAAAACGTGAGAAGACTAGACTCAAGGAAAGAGTTTAACAGTTGTCTATAAATGATTTTTTGTCTGTCTTTACTTTTAACATTAAAACCTTATTTTTTGGAAATATATAAATATCATCAGCCATGGAAGAAAAACAACAAGCACGACCTATTCCCCACTATCAGCTGTCTCATCTATACCCACTCATTAAGATGTAAAACAATCCTCAGCACAGAAGGCCCGTCATATCCCCTTTGTAACTCAGTCCAACTCCTCCCTCATGGGAACATCACTCCTGTTTACTATACCATCTAAAACATCACATTTACCATCTGTCATTTGGTTTGAATGTCTAAAAGCTGTGTGTGAAACGTATGCGCAATATAGTGACCTCAAAAATTCACACAATCAAACTAATATGTAATGTCAATAGCATGTACACCACGGTCTGCTAACGATCCCACAATGCAATGCATTACATTTTCTAGATTCTCGTTAAAATTGTGCGACTCTACACTTGTCAGTGGTGACTGCAAAATGATGATGGTGATGTGTGTGACAGAGTTTTTGCTAAAGGTTTTTCTTCAGTATAGGCATGAGTAGGTCATCCATGGTTTCATAAAGCTGATGTCATGAGTGCAATATTCCAGTGTAGTAGTGATTACTGTCAAAAGAGAGGTAGATACTATACACACATGTGGCAAACTGGTGTACTGAGGCTTTAATTACAAGAAAATATGGATATTTATTTACTCACTGAATATCTATCAAAGATGCTGCCATTCTAAGAACTAGTTAGCAATGCAGTGGATCTACTTTGCATAAATATACAGTATATATATTCTTTATTCTTACATGTGCGCTAGATTGTAAATCAATTTTCAGGCAATATGAACATGTTGATCTTCACATTTTTCCTGTAATTATTGGTGAGTTAATAACTGCTTTACCATCACAACTATAAAGTTACTAACTAAATAATGACAATCATTGTTATTAATTGTTTTGCAGACATTTTCTCCTTATTGATGCATTAAATCAGGACAGCTCCTACCTTGATACCAGCACCTCCAGGTGGCCCAGGCAGTCCCATGTCTCCTTTTTCACCCTGAGGACACAAACACTGCAGTTTAACCTGCTCCTTCACTGACACAGCAGATCAGCACAATAAAAAAATTCAAGTATGGCATAGCTAAAAGCTCTGCTGGACCTGAATTGAGCCCACGGGATTAAACTGTTTTGTGAGCTGAAACACAACACATCGGTATTAATTCTATTTTTCTGCTCATTTCTATCACCTGTAACTCCTCCTTGCATGTTGCTATGACAATCAGAGCAAAAGAAAAACATTAGTTGTATGCCATTTTCACAAAGTGGTAGGAGAGGTTGTCACGAATTCACAGCTGCTGTAAATCACACTAAAAATCTCAGATTAGTTGAATTACTGTTCTGTAATGAGCTACTTATAGATGCTATAGTTGACACCTATAATATTCCAGTTAATTCATTTTATAACTGGAGTCATTTAAGATAAACCTAAATACTATGCACAATCCATTAAATGTTGACTATTCACATCACTTTACTTAGTTCTCAAAAAGGTACATTATATCGATATTTAAAGCCTTTCAGAGGTATGCAAGAAGTGGAGTCAGTATAAAAACCAATTTTTTTTTTTACTGAATCTAAAACAAACCACTATTATGTATTTTAACAACAGCAACATGAAGTGAACCTTTCAAGGAAATGAATCCATTTGGGTTGGGTCCTGAATAGAAAGCATTCACTTAATCATATCAGGTTTTTTTAATTCGTGTTTACCTCTTTCCCCTTTTCACCTTGATCCCCCGGCTCGCCATGTAACCCAGGGATTCCCTTCATGACAAAAATAAAAGACATAAATCAAGAGGATATCAATTTACTGATAAAATGCAGTCTAACTGTGAAATTCAGCTTCTTTCTCCAAATCGCTGAAAGGGACAGTTTGCCCAACAGACGGTCTCAGAGCTCATGTGTTCAGTTATGACATAAAACGGTAAATGGCTCAGAGCTCATGTGTGGGCACGTTCAGTTATGACATAAAACGGTAAATGGTCTTATACTTCTATAGCGCTTTTCTATTCATTGCAGCACACTCAAAGTGCTTTCACACTATTTGTTCATTCACCCGTTCACAGTCCAAATTCATGCACCAGTGATATCACTGGGAGCAACTAGGGATTCAGTGCCTTGCTCAAGGACGCTTCGACGTGAACTGAACAGAACCGCTAATCTTTCAGTTAGGACATGATCCGCTCTACCTCCTGAGCCACAGCTCCCTTTAAAAACAGGATGAATGTATGTTATGTGAACAAATATATTGACTTACGATGAGACCTGGCCACCCAGGGAGGCCTGCCAGTCCTGTGTTCCCCTTTTCACCCTGAACAACAAAACACAATCTACTGCTGGCTCATGCATTGTAACTGAACTAGGTGTACACAAATTCTGAGGCCTTGTTTTTGTATATCTCACCTTTGGTCCTCTGTCTCCCCTCGCCCCTCTGACTCCTGCTTTCCCTCGTTTTCCCTGAGGATGAATTTGCCATGTTTTTAAATGAGGCATGTTATATATCCTTATATTAGTTAGAACTGCATTTCACAACACTGGAGCAGAAAGCTCTTACCCTCCTTCCCACATGCCCCCTCCTCCCTGGTGATCCATTCTCACCATCATCTCCCTATAGGGGTAAAATATACACTAGTATCTTTCTGGAAAAAGATATTCAGTACTTGCGGTGTTGATTTTGTTTCACAAATTCCGTAATCCAATTAACATAACGCGGAATAAAAATAGGTTTAAATAAACATGAAAGAAACCACTTAGAGGTCACTTTGTGATTGTATGCCTCTGCCAACCAATCAAATTCCAAGGAATGGGACAGATGTGAGGTCATTGTGAACTTGACCTTTGACCAGCAAAATCTAATTAATTCATCCCTGAGCTCAAGTGGATGTTTGTGTCAAATTTGAAAAAATTCCCTTGCGGTGTTTCTGAGATATTGCATTCACAAAAATAGACTGGACTGCAAACTCTAAATGGTTTCTAAATGGAAAACTAGAATGTGTATAAATGTTACATTACTGCACAAAAATATACACAAGACATGGAGATAGCCAACCAGATAAAATATGGAGCTCTAACCTTCTCCCCTTTAATGCCTTGTTTCCCCTCAGGTCCTGGTCTTCCTTGTACTCCCTGCACAGCAAAGCAATTACAAACAAATCTATATTATATAAATAAAGGTCTGGTTAATTCACAGTAACTATGCTGTACACCTCCACACACTTACTGGAGCCCCTGTGGGACCTGAAGGACCCTGGGGTCCCACCTCTCCAGGAGGCCCCTGAAAGAAAAGAAACAAGCACAAATGAGAAAGTTGGTTGTTGATGGAAAAAGCAATGAATTGCCATCAGACTAAATGATGGTGCTTCTCAGTAGTGGTCTAGTTTTCACCTCAAACCCTGGGAGAGCTGGAGGACCTTGGATTCCTGGCAGGCCATCTTCACCCTGCAATATATATGTATATATATACAGTGGGTACGGAAAGTATTCAGACACCCTTAAATGTTTCAGTCTTTGTTTTATTGCAGCCATATGCTAAAATCATTTAAGTTCATTTTTTTCCTCATTAATGTACACACAGCACCCCATATTGACAGAAAAACACAGAATTTTTGACATTTTTGCAGATTTATTAAAAAAGAAAAACTGAAATATCACATGGTCATAAGTATTCAGACCCTTTGCTGTGACACTCATATATTTAACTTAGGTGCTGTCCATTTCTTCTGATCATCCCTGAGATGGTTCTACACCTTCATTTGAGTCCAGCTGTGTTTGATTATACTGATTGGACGTTATTAGGAAAGCCACACACCTGTCTATATAAGACCCTACAGCTCACACTGCATGTCAGAGCAAATGAGAATCATGAGGTCAAAGGAACTGCCTGAAGAGCTCACAGACAGAATTGTGGCAAGGCACAGATCTGGCCAAGGTTACAAAAAAATTTCTGCTGCACTTAAGGTTCCTAAGAGCACAGGGCCCTCCATAATCCTTTAATGGAAGACGTTTGGGACGACCAGAACCCTTCCTAGAGCTGGCCGTCCGACCAAACTGAGCTATCGGGGGAGAAGAGCCTCGGTGAGAGAGGTACAGAAGAACCCAAAAATGACTGTGGCTGAGCTCCAGAGATGCAGTCGGGAGATGGGAGAAAGTTGTAGAAAGTCAACCATCACTGCAGCC